ACAGCTGTTAGTCAAGCATGAGGGTACATTTATGCATAGCTGAATGGACAACTGCCAATATTAATGGTGTAACTGGCAAAGCAGTGAAATATCTATTCCGTCTGTCCAAACAGCTGAAAATGATTACATTTTATAAACCAATAAGAAACAAGCCAATCAATGGCTCCATAACAGGAATAAGATGATTCACAATTAATCAAATATTCATATTAATCAAATATAAATATCAATATAAATATTGATCAATTTAATCCCAATTACTATATTACCTGTACAAAAGCATTGCTACTAGCAGAAATGACACATTCATGAAACATTAACAACAAAGACGTTTTGTACACAATTGGTTATTCAGATTAATTAATACAAGTTATTGGAATGCCATCCTACTCTTTGCTCAGTTTTAACTGTTTATGTCATCTCTCAGCAAGTTATTACATGCATTTATAATAACTATTGATTTTTAGTACGTACATGTATGCATTTCTACTATAACATCAACCTGCATTTTCAAAAGAACAGAGACACACAATTTACAGAGTAAAGGTTTTTCTTTGCTTTTTTGGTTGAATTACAAAATGAGCGCCTCATTAGCCTAAGATAAATATGTCTGGGATTCTGCACTCTCTCTATTAATAAGGCTGTATCCAGACCCAATTTTGTAAGGGGGGAGGGGCAAGTGAGCAGTGCACCAGGTTCACTTTTGCATTAACTGATCCCACCAGTCACAATTATGCAGCTGCTCAGACACAATTTCCTGAACAAAATGCCTATGTCCATACAAAACAACTTCCGTTTATTAAGACACTTGATATCTTCACTCCAATTGACTTTAAAAAAAAATCCTCCTTGTTTTTTTATGGGGGGGCGTGGTTCCCACTGTCTCCCCTTGACTATCAGTATCATTATCTGTCAGATTGTCACATTTGTATTTAGTGTGTTTAAAATGCATTTTGAGTTTCATATTCAATACATGCCCAGCTACTGTTTTGATTGACATGGACATGTATTATGCATTGGGGTACAGTCAAGATCAGGCTCCATGGTCTCATCTACATGGTGGTTAGCCCTAACTTTTTGACTGGTGATGTGATTTGGGCAGATATTTGAGACGAGGAAGTTCTGGCAAAATTTGAGATTTCTAGGGGAATATGGTTTGTACAATGTACTTGATTTCAAAAATATGACAGCAAAACTATAAGAGCAGATGGACAATCCAATCAGATTTGGGTGCCAAAGGTGATGCAGTGTCAAACACCTTACAACTCCAGACAAGTCATACAGTCTCAAGTCACAAGATATAATTATGGCAATTTCAAAGCGTTACAGTCAAGTATTTTTCAAGTACATGTACTCGCTTACTTCCAGATTTGAACGGATCAGGTGCGAAAAAAGCTGGAAGACATGGACACTGGATAGTAAATGCCAAATGCAAGATTGAAAAGCAAAGCTAAGACTTCAGACAATCATCGTTTTGCAAATGATAAGTTCTAGGGAGAAAAGTTCTCCACTGAAAACTTTCAAGTGCTTTTGTCCGACGGGCCCTGAACGGGAGCAAGAGAAGGCACAATTTTCCTAGCAATGGAGGTTCCTTCATTGGGAACTGCTCTTCACTGATCATGAATGACTATGAAATGCATGCAGTGTGGCCGATTGCTACCAACCAAATGAACACTTCCCCTCTAACATGGCTCTTTTCAACTGATGAGGGAGTGCTTCTGCTCGAGGTGGATAACTCAATTTTTAAAATGCTGAGATGGTCTAATTTTAGCTTTGTGTCCATGTTTTCCAACATTGTTCACTCCTAACCAGTTCAATACATGTATTTGGTGGTAAGTAAACTTTGTATTCAAAAAGAACTTAACAACAAATCCCCAATTTCATTTATTTATTATCACTACCCATCACTTTACAAAGGAAAAAAAACACTTGCCGGAAAAGAAGTCTTAGTATATCAGTCCGTTCTCCCCAAGCAGCGATGTGAGCAGCTGTCTGTTTGTTGCGGTTACTGGCGTCTGCTTTGGCACCGTAGCCCAGCAGGATCTTGACGGCGTGTGCATGGCCCAGCTGAGCAGCATACACAAGCAGTGGTGTGCCTTCCATGTCTCGTTGCTCCAACACCTGCACGGGTTAATTAATTAAAGGCAGGCTGCAATGTATCGCTGGCTTAGCTTAGAAATGAGGGAACAATCAATATGGTGCACTGTGAGTGACAAAATTATACAGCCTATACAGCAATGTCATGAGGTAAATTGTGTCCTGGATATTACATTAGAACAATATCATACATGGAACTTCTTGTCAAATTATCTCTGTGAATTCTGTCTACCATTTACTATCAAAAAATAGAAATATATTCTGTCTACAATTTACTTCAGAGGAATTACCAGCCGTAACCAGTTTCTGAAACCCTTAGTCTCAAGCTTTCTCTCGTCTTTTCTTGATCTGGAATTGCATGATTCCTGCTTTTTACTGTTGCCATGTCATTTTGCCTTAAACCAAAGTTTTCCCAGGACTAGAATATCAGGCCATCCAAAATGAGCTGGTAAATAATGAATTTTTGAAAGTTGTTTCATGTAAACCTGTGGTACAGTACTTAAGTAATCCTTTATCAGACCTGTACAAAACACACAAAAATTAAGGCATTGAGAATGAGACAAAACAATTTAATAATTAATAAAATAATTAAATCTATTTATCAGGGATCCATAAAGCAAAAGTAAGTGAAAACTAAGTACATGTATGTTGGTGATCCAAGTCAACAGTTAAATGAAAATTTCTGAGGCAAGTCAAAGTTAATTTCTACTGAAGTACGTATTGATCCTATTGATTTTCTTACAGAAAAATTCATTAAATGACTGACTGACAGCTGCTGCATTTCACTACACTCTCAACCCTCTTGCAACCAGTGGGACATTTTGCATTGTTACATGCATGTGTAACCTTGACTCATTTGTATCACAAGATCCAATCAACAAACTAGGAGTCAGATTAGTCACTTTACATTGAAGACAGTAACTTCAAAGTGCCAGCCATAAAACTAAATTCAACCACTTGTTGACGGTACAGTTTTGACTGAAAATTTTGACTTTTGAGAAAAGGCACAATATAGGGGCCAAGTTTTGATATAAAGTCAAACACTACAAATAGAGACTTGTTAGTATCATTTAACAGTATTTTTGTGGTATATTTCGTAATACCTCATATTTTTCAACGCTAAATTTGCTACTACAACAGGTCATGCACAGTGGCCAAGCTTTAAGTTCAGGACAAGGTAAACTTCCACAGACTTCTTGGATCCACTGACTGTGAACAAAACAGAGATGAGCGGAGGCACATGTGGTAATTTACCTCATCAACCGTGCCTGTCTACTTACTTGTCCTCTGACGCTAAGTGGTTTATAGAAAAACTGGTGATACAGAGAGAGGGACATGTAGGCCAATACCTGATACATGTAATGAAATTTTCATTGTGTGCCCATGGCCAAAGGGCTGATCCCCCGGGGTTAGGGCCACAGGTAGATAACAATGTGTCTGTCTTGGTAAAAGTGAAAAGAAAAAAGCAACACGAATGGCTCAAGAACTGGGAACATCTCTTTCAATTCTCTACTTTTTTTCACACTTATCTATTTGGCATGGAGTGCAGAACAGAAGGGAGGTCAAAATTCACTGTTTTCATCAATTCCGGGAAGCAAAACCTCTTCTTTGCTGATCTGCTCCATTGTGATGATTGAAATTTTCTGAAAGCCTCTGGCATCATGATGGGAAAAGTAAAGAGTTCCATTATAGACACCCCTTGACATCCTGTGTAAACCCTATGACATTAGTCTGAATAATTCTAGTTTTCTAAATGAATACCTCAATATTTTCTCTGCTAAATTTGACTTTTTAGGTCAAATACTTGCTACCAAATGGCTACAAGGTAACTGTTGGGAAAAAATAGTGGCATCCGTATATGGAATTCTTTCTCTAATACAAGTGCATGTATAAAAAAGGAAATTTCAATAAGAGAAATTTTAAAAGTGACAATTTCTCTCAAAGAAAGATATAATCCGATTTTCTGCCTACTACTTGATCAACAAGTATGTGTGATAAATGTATTTTACATGTAATGTAATGCCTGCAGCATACACATACATGTACCTTGTTCCAATCTCGTATTTTATAGTAATTAACCTCGCTTATACTGTAAACCATTAAAACAGATACACTGGATCACATTTTGGTGAGATGGCAAATTAGAGCGAGCATTGGGAGGGGGTAATCAAAAGTATCTGATGATTCCTAAATTCTGAAATCAAGTAGGAAAGAGTTTCATATACGGATGCCCCTTGACATCCTAATGCACAACCCATATGAGACTGGTAAGAAAAATGCCAAGCATTTCCTAAGTAAACTACCTGGTATTTTCCCTCCTAAATTGAACTTTTCTGGACATGTTTTTGCTTTCTGACGGAAATAGGTCACTGTAGGAAATAAGAACTGCATATGGCGTCCGTATATGGGACTCTTTCCCTCAAGTACTGTCCATGCGATACAAGTTACAACAATGGGTGCAATTATCAAAACAACTAAAATTACCAAATTATTTAATGGCTTGGCACTCTGTCTGCATATGAACCACAAAAGTACACAGCATTAACAATCTTATTATGATGTTTGAGTTAATATGACTAATTGCAAACATTTATTGTTCTCTTCTCTTGTAATCTGATGTATAACATGTTATTTTGTTCATTGTTTAGAAAGTCTGACAACTAAACTTTAAAAGGTTTTACCTCCGATAATCTCGATTTCATTTTGCAACAAAATCTCTGAGATTTATTTCTGTGTAAACTGCAACTAATGCACCATTGGGATACTGCATTCTCAAGAGTGGAATCAGTTTCATCCCACTTTAACGAGCTTTCCTCAAGAAAGTATCATTCACCATACCTCTGGGGAAACTCTTGTACAAAGTAACTGTAGACAGGTGTCTGCATTGACTCGCACGGCGAAGTGTAGAACATTCTGGCCTTTATCGTCTCTCAAAGCAGGATCAGCTTTGTGATCAATCAGTGCCTCCACAAAGTCCACCTTCTTGTAGAAAACTGCCCAGTGTAAAGCCGTCCTGCCCAGATTATCCCTGGAGTCCGGATTAGCACGATACCGTAGCAACAGGCGACAGCAGCTGAGATGGTCCATGCGGCGATGCGGATGCCGCGCACCGGTGGGGATTGGCGCTGCGGCGCGTCCCGATCCCTGTACGCACTGAATAAGCGGAGTAGCACCGTCTTTGGAACTGCAGTTGGGGTCAATTTTCTGACCCCTGTTTCCGAGAAAAGCTTCGAGGCTGTCGGGGTTTCCTGATCTGGCGAGTCGCAGAAACTCTTCTTCCTCCTTCGACATCTTATTTCAAAGAGAAGATACGTCTCGAAACGGAAAAATTGAGTAACAACTCGCCAAAGCGCTTCTGCAAGGAGCAATCACGAATGTACACGAACGCGTCGCCAAGGCCAGCGAGGCAGCCGAAGGCGACTACAGGGACCAAATCAAAGCTACAACCCAGCGCCTTGAACAAGTGATTTAGACTGCTCCATTAAAATACGGGGGTCAATTCTTCATGCTCAAAATAAAAATAATGTCTACCTTGCACTTGCGCAGGTTACACCATAGACATACATGTTTCTTTTCTCCATGGTCACATCACCAGCAACAAGGTGTAATATTAATCAGATTAAAAGTGGGTTTGGAAATATAACTTCAAGTTTCTGATCAAACGGTGTCAAAGCTTGGTGTAAATAATTTTCCATCGACGACGATACGGTTGTGTACATTAAGTACAATATATAACGGGACAACTTGAGAGGGGCGAGGGTGGGTGCCGTTACGCGTTGTGTTGTGAATGCCCTTCATCATATGCCCCTCAGAACCGAAAGTTCTGTAAGGTCTTGTACCTTGACGTATCAAACACAAATACAACCACGTTTTATTGACTACACAAAGATCAGACCAGTTTGTACCAAGCGTGTTGCATGCTGCGAATTGCATTGGTGAACGCCGAACAGATTGGACACACTAATGAACGTCTACGGCTAAGACTTAGAAATCAAAGACCTGGGCCTCCGAATTAAAAGAACGCAGATTAAGGTATAAATAATAATACATTGTTCTTTCACATTAACAAGAGTCATTTCTTAATTTTAAGTAGAATTCAGGATTTGATGTACCATTATCTATCATGAGTGCAGATAAACAAGGCTGTCCAGTTTCCAGACATCAGAAAATGTAGACTACGCTGAATGCTTGAGCTGCCGGCATATGCCTGTGCCCTAACCTAGTAACTGTATAGCGTTAGACTCGTAAGCAGGGCACTACGTATCACTTCGTCGATACACTGGGACCTGTCCCGATTGATAGTGATTTCTTTCGATCAGGTTTATCCAGTATGTCCAGGGATATTATCAGACATCTGCAGGATCTTATGACTGAATTAATTGCACCAGTATGTTCACACATCCCATGCGTGTGGCTGCTTAACCCTCCTATGCTGAAGTCACTCTTTGGGTCATTTGGTAAACACCTCAAAGAAGCACAGCTGTATTGTGTTTTGCACTGCACTAACTTTCCCTCACAGGAATATCAGATTGCACTTTTGTGCTGCCCAACAACTGTACTTCACTGTTTCATGTGCATACTTGTGCAGTAAACCAAATGCAGTGAAGAGGACTGCACAAAAGACCCTGGGTCATTTTGTACTGACAACCAACTGCGTACACACTGAACCTGTGCATGTTTGAGTTCCATGTAGAAACTACATGCTCACCAGTGACTGTGGGCATTTGTGCACATTTGTTCTGTAAACCATAGGAGGGTTAATATGGGGCTGTCCCCCACTGCCCAGCCCAGGTTGCTGTTTGCAAAAGAAATCGACATGTCCTTGTTTGGAGGAAAAATGTTGCCATCGGTTGGCATTTTTCCCACTGCGGAGGAATGTTTCTGCAAACATGAGTTGCCTATTTATCGCAAATACTGCATGGGTGATTTTACACAATGGTAGAAAGGCACTGTGGGAAGGAAAAAGGAGCAAACATTGCCCCTTTTTCCTTTCCACAATGCCTTTCTACCATAATGCAAAATTGCCCATGCAGTATTTGCGATAGGGCTTATATTAACAAAGTAATGCTGGTACATGCCTACTAAGGCATACACTGGCACTGTGTGCTACAGTGTAGGCCTGCATGTACATGTAGTTGGCCACCCCAATCATAACGCTGTAGTTACATGTAGTTGGGACCATTCCAAGCGTTGTTAGGACAGATACTGTAGGTGGGGCATAGCTAGACCTGTAAACAGGGCCCTATGTAAACTCCATCATATACTGGGCCCTGTCCCGATTGATAATGATTTCTTTCAATCAAGTTTATCTGAGATGTCCGGGGATGTTATCAGACATCCGCTGGATTTTATGAGCTGAAATTGCACTAGTCTGTTCATTACTTGCGCTGCTACTATCCCCCAGGTTGCTGTTTGCAGAAAGCTCACCTTTTTCTTATTTGAATGAAAAAAGTTGCTTTCAGTTGGCATTTTCCTAACTCCGGACAATTTTTAGCCTGACTTGCACAAAACTGGTGGCTGTTAGTGTCACAACACAGAGAGCAAGCTGCGCGCTACATGTTCAACAATTTGGCGCAAGCAGTATTTGACTGGACAGGGAATTAGCCAAAGGCGTTGCGTATTAGCTGCGACACCAAACAGTCGCAATTTTCCATGACTACTCAAATCGACAGGTGCTCTTCCGGATCTGAATGAATTTGCATGTGCTGAAGTCTGGGTGCAAACTAGACAGGCTCTTTGTACAGGCTGCCGTCACTTAACCATACAAAAGAGTCTGCGTAATGTGCAAGTTATGTGTTAACGAGGCCAACATTCGTCCAGAGTGGGGAAAACGCCAACTGAAGGCAAAATTTTTTCCTTTTATGAGGAAAAGGTGAGTTTTTTGCCAATAGCAACCTGAGGGGATAGTTAACAATGTAAATAGTGAACATACCAGTGCAATTTCAGTTCATAAGATTCTGTAGATGTCTGATAATATCCCCAGATATCCTGGATAAACTTGATCACAAGGAATCACTATCAACCAGGACAGAGCCCAGCATATGATGGAGTATACGTAGGGACCTGTTTACAGGTCTAGGGCGTAGCAAGCATGTTGAGAGTCTAAACGGGGTAGCCGCAAGTGTCATCTTGCACAACCCTTGACTGTGACAGGAAGTGTATACCGGTACCGTGCTTCATTATGAACAAGCTGAACAGACAAAAATCCAACATGTCTGACTCCGGCAGTTAAAACGTGCATTTGCTTAGACAAGTTGTACTTAGAGCAGTGCTCGTGTCTTGGCTCAGTTATGGTTATACGTTTATGTGGAAGAGTCACAATAATGGTGAAGGTTCCTATTTGATTTCCAACAAGACCAATCGTAAGTTTAATTGGGATTAAAAAAAATAGCCTTACAGACAATATTCTTAGCAAATTCTCTCCCTCTGTCTCTTTTTAGATTGTAGAAAAAAGACCCCTTTTTGTTTTGTTGTAGTAACAAGTCTGGAAATATGTATGATCTCCTCCCATTTTAGTATTTCCCACTATCTTACTGGTGATGAACAAACAGTGGTCCAGGTCAAACATAGCCGTATTGTATGCCAAACATAAACCTTTGCATTTGACATACTAAGCCAAAGCTGCAAAACTTGAGGCAAAAACACATGAGGACAGTGAACTGGTCAAATATCCACTGCATTTTAAAACCCAAGTTATACCCCCTCCATTGCCAACCTCTCTAGTTTCCTTGTTTTATTCTGGGAACATGATAGATTTTGATCACTTGATTGAATTACGTCAAAGGTATGCAATCTTCCATGAAACTTTTCCTGAGATAAGGCATACCAGCATTACTTACAAGTTCAGACATTTCTTCATCAGCTAAAAAAAGGAACGGTGCTTGGTACTTTTTGTTAGCCATTGGCCATTTTATGTGAAGAACTGTGTAAATGCTATCTCAACAGAGAGACTGTGCACGTTTAGGAAGTGGGAAGTGGTGGTTGTTGGTGCTGAGTATGGGAGCACCTCATGTGTCAGGATCAATGATCCATGTGGCTCATAGGATAGCAAGGATTTCTTGAGGGATTGTACTGCTGTACTTTTACATATCAGATTGTCAAAACATGAAAGTTCACATGTACCATCTAACAAAACAGCGTTTTCATTTTATTCTTCTGAATAATTCAGATATTATTAATCATTATTATATATTATAATTATTATATTAATACTTATTTTTTATATTTCCAACATTATTATTAATAAAGGATGGGGCAGGAACAGTTGCATTTGTAAGATGACGGAATACATTCAGCCAGGCCACATAGTGCTACACGAACATGTACAGTATTTTTGGCACTGTTATATGTTTGGTTTGAGTACAGTGGTCAGTGAGACTACAGTGTGGGTACTGGGTTCACAAGGCGGGTATGTAGAGGGCCTACAAAAAGAGTTCTTATCTAGAATTCTCTGGACGCCCTCTGCACAAACCCTGTAGGATTTGTATGAAAAATTCCAAGCTTTTCCAAAGTAAATGTTTCAATTTTTCCTTGCTAAATGTGACTTCTTAAGACATGTTGCCACTTTCTGATGTCTGCTATGTCACTGCAGGGAAACATAGTGATGTTTCCCCAAGGCTAATACATTTTTTAGACCATCACCTAAAAAGAGTAGGAATTACACATTTCAAAAATTTTGGGTTAAATTTCTGGTCGGAAGAATGATTGGTACTTCTAGTGCATGTAATAGCCTAGTAATGAAAGTTTACATATTGTTTTGTTTTTCTTTTCAGCAACTGATTGTGCTGACAGTGTCCTCCAGTGTTACGTGAACCCCAAACTATTAGATGTTAATTTGCTTGCCACTGACAGACCATCATGCGTGTCGATGTCAGTCTTCCTTCCTTTATACTCCTGGTGCATCTTGCCTCCTCATTCCTGGAGGGATGCTCGGGTGAGGTGGTTGTCCTCTTACAGACCCTGACAGGGTCTGTGCCCTCTGGCAACTTCTCTTACTACAAACTCAGCCGCAGTGGCAACATCCGATTGGTTCTGCGCACGCTCAAGGGAGATGCCGACGTCTATGTGTCAGCGACCACACTACACCCCACCTACGAGGACTACGACTTGAAGTCGACAACGTACGGGGACGAAATTCTGGACATTGGGGAGTATCTCAGCCGACCCGTGGGAATCGGTATTTATGGTCACCCACTGTACCAGAATGACACCTCCTATGAGTTTGATATTTGGTTGGATACCAGCGAGGTGGAGGACCCGTGGAGAACTGAGACCGAGAAGACCGAGCCGTCTTTTGGGAAGCTGTATCCGGGGGAGGATGCCGAAAATGAATCGCTGCTGTGGAAGTTGTTTATTGGCATCCTGAAGGTGGCAGTGGACATCATGATTTGATTGGGTGGGCAACAGGTGCATGTAGATGCATACCGACAGTCAATGAAAATGTATATGTACCATAAGATTATTCTGAAGTTAAAGACTTCAAAAGAGTATCAACTCTCTTTTTTTCTTCATCAGTTGTTGTGGGGAAGGGAACGGCCAGACACAAGGCTAATTATTATACTTGGCATTTTGCCCTTCACCAATGTATGTTTGTAAACACTCTGTACTCAAGTGTTGTCCAACCGCTTCTTCAGACGCTAGGTATTTTCATTCACTTCATGCATCAGTGCCCACAGTGGTACTAACAGCGCGTTCCCACTTGAATTGGGAGAAGGTGGATCTTGATCCAGCATTTTGGTGTGATCGTTATCTTACCGCAACGAAACCGCAAGTCGCATTCCCACTAGCACTTGATCCACCTTTTCGGAAGGATACGTCGAGCCCGAAAGGTCACTGAGTTCAGTATTGCACATGTGCTAGCTTGCTGAGCGCGTGCTCTGTGGCAGTGTGGCGTGCTGGGGCGGCATGCGTGTGATCCTGCGGTGTTTTGGGTGCGGAGTTGTACTGACGTGACGACCTTGAATCAGACCGAATGTTCAGCCTAGTACGTTGTCTCTTCAAACTTTGCTTCCGTTTTTGATACTCTGTCACACGTTGCGGGCTCTACACAAACACGGAATTAGTTTTTGATGGAAAGCAAGTGAAATTACACAAATGAGAAAGTTTAAGAAACGGACAAATGCGCAACGAAAAGTGTGAAAGGGCAAGGCACACATCGCGGCACGCATGCATTGCGCATGGGTGGTTACATATTTTGCAAGCCCGTAGTTCAGCAGTTGTTTATTATGTATACTGTGCATGTTAAAATTTCACATGAACTACATGCCAAAAAACATATTTCTTTGTTCATCAGACCGCAAAATTTTCGCGCCACTCGTGCACGGACAGATGTTGACAGGTAAAATTGCCGGATCAGATCCACCTTTTGCGTTCCCATCTGATCGTGATCCGCCAATTGCAGGATCTGATCCGCTAATTGCAGGATCTGTATCCTGCTCCAGAGGAGGATCAAGAAAGGTGGATCTGATCCTGATCCACCTTATAACGGTTAGCGT